AAAAGAGAAGACACACCAGACACGAAGCTCTTCCACTGCTTCAAATATATCTTTTGGGATTTGTGTAAAGCCTAAGAGGATTGGGACTGCCATGTTTGCAAAGAGGCTTCTGGCTTCAACTCTTACTGAGCAAGGGAAACACATCTTCTTTTTCAGCACATACTTGACTGTAAGAAATCTGAAGAACCTTTTAAAAATACATAATATCAGCCACGAATACTAGGAGAGTTTCTATACACAGTTGAGCTAAACTTCTCATCTTAGAAGAATAAGTAGCATTTTTTTCTGTTTTCAAAGCAATCCTCAAGGACTTTTAAAATATGCACACATACCTTTAAATATATGTAGACACACATATTCTTACAGCACACATGTATGATTGTTATTCTGCACAATTTTGTGTTACCTTTGCTTTGTCCACAACAGGAGTTATTCCAAATAAGGAAGACAGAAAATAAAACCTCCTGTTAGTCATTAAACCAGGCAGAAACCCATCTTGAAGCTTTTTCTTACCCAAGAGGCTGGGAAGTCAGGCAGAGGTGAAAAAAGTCAGAGCAGAAGCACAAAAGCAGTAGATATGCAAAGAGGTCACCTGGTCACACTACTCACCATCATGATGTTACAGAAATTGCTCTTCTCAACGTGGGAATATCTTATTTTCTGGCTCTGGGACCAGCTGCCCAAGGTCACAGCCAGAAGACTTTGCTTTTGGCTTTTTACATTTGAGCTCAGATAAGCAGGCTTAGGCCTCAGCCTTCCCACAGATTCAAGGGGTTGTGGCTCCTCTTGCATCTCTGTACTGGAAACATCACTCTGGTTTTCTTCCTCTGTTAGTTCATCTTCATATAAAGAGTCAGAATCAGGCTCATCAGAAGATTTTTTCTTTATCTTTTCTGTGCTGGGAATCTGTGCTAGAAACAGGTTCAAAAAGAATATGTAAAATATCTGTATGTGCCTTTTTCTCCCTCACTTACATATTCCACCTAGGAGCTAGGCAAGGTCTTTCTGAACCTTTTTCAGCCCAAATATAGGATTTCCAAACCCAACTAAACAATAAAAGGTCTGTACAACTGGTTGATTTTAACTAAATAGCTCTTAATCAGCCACTGTATTAAAGGAGAAGCTGAAACATCAACAGCCTTTTACTTATGGCTGCTGTAAACTAGCATGAAGTAAGTGGCTATGACTGAATTAGTTAGGAAGTTATTAAAAAGAGCACTTTTATTTTTCTCTCCTATGAATCACTGAGAAATACTATCATGTTCTCATTCTGTAAATCTGCTAGGATGTAAAAAATTTAGGACTGTGTCTAGTCTTACTGATTGCAGTGTAATTTAGAGCATTTGTGGCAATTGCTGGAGGCCTAGTGCTAACAACAGTCACTACAGGG